ATACTGATACTGATACTGATGTAAAGTCGCGCATTATAATATGTGGGTTTTTCGTCGATATATTTGAGTCATTTTCCGAGTGTCAACTACTCCAGTACCTACAAGCTCAATGTATGTATCCATCGCAAAAAAACATCCACGTATACTTTACTAATGAGTTGCTGAGACATTTATCTAATGAAGTAAGCGAAACGTGTGAGCACCAAAAATGGTAGATAATAATTAGTCTAGGTAGGGATCGTTTTGGCATATATATGACAAGGACCACTTACAAACTCCTAAAAAGTGGGTGACTAGGTTTAGTTCGCTCATTCCAGAAACCTCGGTTTATGATTAAGGTTGTGGCATTCCAACCGACCCCTTCGCTTACAGCGGGAAATGTTTTTCGAAGTAAGCCATGAGATAAAGGTTAAGTGCTTGTTGAAGGGAAAATTGAATGCTAAGGTTTGGCCCATGTCTTCTAGTAAAGGGCAAATCAAACTGAAGAACAGAATCTATCTTCAAAGCATTGGTTATCATAGACGTGGATATTACTCAAAGGTTAGGCTGTAGAAAGCGTACGGCTGAAGATGGGGAGACACGATGGTACTTTCTGACTGATTTACCTCTATCACTCAGCCAGCCACATCTACATCCTGGGCCAGGAAAAACCGAAGACTGTAATCTATGTCATTCTGGCATGGAACATGCGCGTTAAATGCTTTACCATTTAGGCTATGGGCTCAGTCATTGGCGGTTGCAATGCAGACGTTTTACCGATCAAATCTCAGGGTATAACACGGTGGTTTCGCCTTGTCATATAGCTTAAGTTCATAGCGCTTACTGGCAGTCAGATAACGAAACACCATCAATAACGCAGAAGAAATCCGACAAAGATGAGAGGCAGGGAAGCGATTGGTCAATTAAGCTTTGTTCGTCAAGGTCCCACTGGAGGAGTATGTTCGTGTCTGCTGTCTGATCCCTAAAGCGTCAACTCCACATGCCCTTAAGTATACAAATCCGTTAAGAAATTAACTTCGTATTAATGGCAAGAAGCACATAAGAACCGCGACATAGTATTGGGTCCCGGTGTCTAGGCGGCCAGAACAGAGAGATGGAAGAAAGTAACACGCTGTAAAGGTGATTGCTTTCCGATTTTTGGTTTCTAACTGCTAAGTATTCATGATCCACTGAGCGTGTCTCAAGCCCCCTACCCCCTATCCTAGATTATATTTCTGCGGCAAAGTCACTCCGGTTTTTACCGGCAGAAGACGCATTGTTTTTTCTAAACTGACGCAACTCACCGATGTAATTAAAATTTGGCTTGGGTTCTTCCTCCACCTGAGAGCCGTCGGCTAATTTGAACTCGGGAGAGGGTGGACCACCCCCAGACTGGAGGTCTAGCCACTTTGATAGCGCACCCCAGTCGGTTGCGGGAGGACTGTCAATGGAGCTGAATTCCTGATAGGAGAAGTCAGCCTCGGTACAACCCATTGTCAGTGGGGCTGCGCTCGGCAGCCTCAGAGGCGAGGGAAGGTCTGTCAGGAAGGGCGACTGAATGTTCAGCAGGGCGGTATTGAAGCTCGACTGTCGAAGAGCCCAGGAGAGTCCGGCAAAACAGGTCGATTGAAAGCCAGAAGAAAAAGCCCCGCACAGTGGGCGCTCCGTGGACAGGTTCAGGGGTGCCGTCTGGGCCAGCTGGTTTGCCGCGGAGGTTGCGAAATTCATTCCACACCAGAAGA